CCCCCATCTCAGCATCTCTGATAAGCAGCCTGAAGCTGGCAGGACACACCGTGGAGGAAGGTGTCATGGAAGAAGGCTGTGTGGGAGCACCTGGAGGGTACTTGTGGTTGGATGGAGAAGTTCAGGGCAGGGCCACATCAGGGGACAGGGAAAAAAACCACAAACCTCAGAAGATGTGAGAAACACAGTAGCCAAAGGCATCACCCAGAGCCAAGGGATAACTCTTGCCCCCAAACATGAAGGACCCTGTGAGTTTTCAGCCAACTGGCATTTGTTTCCTCATTGTGCAGACAGCAGCTTTCTATGGAAACCATTTTGGCACTTGCCAGTGTTCATTTTTTTTTTTTTCATTGTTCTGAACAAAGATGTCAGTATTTCTGGTGGATTCTGACCAAATCTGACTCATGCTTTCCAGGCTAAGAAAAAAGGACCAAAATCCAAGCTTCTGTGGAATTTGAGTTCTAAGGTATCAGAAGGGAAGGGCAGAGAAGTTAAATAAGGATCTAGAGGACAATAGGATACAAAGTTCTAGTGCTAGTTAAAAGGAGGTGTTTCTGGCCCTGGAAAACTCTAGAGCCAACCACACAGAAGGGAAAGCACAGAATATAAGATTTCCAGTATTGAAACAAAGTACTTTTCATTTCTGTGGGGTCTCCTAAAGCTTTCACCTGAGAAAATGAGGTCTGGGAAAGTTTATTCTGTTTTGCTATTGTCCAGCAAAAATTACGTATCTGTTCCCACAACATCTCATGAAACTGAAATGTGTATGTTACTTAAAAAATTCCTTTAGAGATATGGGTTGAAATAGACACCAAGTGCAAACACAAAGTTCATGAGTTTTGCATCACTAGCAAGCACTTTTCACACTAATGTGTTAGGGAAGGTTGCAGAACAAGAATGAGAATTTACTGTGCAGGAGCCTTTTTCTATCAGCTACACCTACAGGCTCACTCTACTTGGATAACTCACATCAGTCCACATATTTCAAGATATGACAAGCTGTAAGGGGGGTCTGATCTGTGTTTCTCAAAGCTCAATTTGACAGATGCATGCAAAATGCTTATAAATTTCCACAAATTCTGACAGGGAGAGAGAAGAATATAAGAGTCCTTGGAAAAAATTAATACAGGAGTATCTGAAATCAGATCCCTGAAATCCAAGGCACCATGCTCTTTTTGATTTGGCATTTGCTCATTGCTGAGCATCTTTTCTCATGCAGCACTGAGTGCTCTGGTGAAGCTGCTGATGTTAGACTAAAGCAGGATTAACCTGCACAAGCGAGCCTAGATGATGACTGCAATTTATTCCCCAGCAGAACTAACTCACCCTCACACCACTTGTTACACCACAGGGCAGCTCTGGCCGTGAGATAAAATGTGCTGCCTCTCAGGAGAGGTTGATGACACCTCACTGTCCCCATGTGCACGCAGGAGTGCAAAATCCACCCGTTTTCCTGTGCCTCCTTCACCACAATGCACTTGCTCCACCTGTTGTCCACTTGCTTTCCTACAAGTCCATCTGCAGCTGTAATTTCTGCAATTGCTTTGCCTTCAGGGATACTCAGGGATCTTCATGGCTGCTTTCTCACTCCCAGCACAGCCAGTATCACTGCCTTCCATAGAGACTCTGGAAAAACCAACCTGCAGTTCAGGAGCAGCTGAAGAACCACAGCTCTTAGAGGTCTAGCTCAGTAATTTAATCACAGTAGTTACCGAGCTGGCAAGTGCCTGTCAGGAAAGCAGGGTGCACTGGGGAGTTAATTACTCAGCAAGGCATCCCCAGTCTAGGTTAAGGGATTAATAGCACATGCACATTCCTACTTTCCAGCTCTTCTGCTAGACTATCACCAGGAACAAGGAGGGAAAAAAATGGCTTTTTCTGCAAGAAACTGGCACTTCCACTGAACAGCTCTGGCAGTATCAGGGTGCTCCATGAGTGTATTCAGTTGTGCCATTTGCTCCTCATGGGCAGACGTGACCAAGCTGGAAGATGGCAGCAAAGTAGTGCCTGGCTCCTCTGAGGACAAGATCAGCCCAAGTGTAAGCACTTGCTGTCTCTGGATTCACACTGCTTTCTTGAGAGAGAGAATTCCTTTTCCCAAATTTCATGCAAGAACCAGGCCAAAGGTGAGGAAATATGTGCTGTGCTGAGGGGGAGCTGGGACAGACCTGAGGAGAACATGGCTCTGTTAATGAGGGAAGAATGCTTGCAGACACAGCATTTGTACTTCTGGGGTCCCACTAGGGCCACAACTGCTTTCTGAAGCCTGGCAAGAGCAATTGCAGCACCACAGCAACAAGCACAGAATAACCTGAGCTGGAAGGGACCCCTGAGGATCATCTACATTTCCACCTCCAAATGAGCTGTGGGTCAATGCTTCTCCTTTCAAAGGAGCCATCAGAAGTCACCTTCAGGCCACTTCATTGCACTGAGAGGGACATCACAGCACAGCTACAGCCTTAGTCTGGTGTCTGCTGCCCTCCCCTGCTCTGTCAGCAAAATGGGAAGAGCAAGGACAGGGAGCCTCATCCCCTGCTCCCTTTTTTTCTGCAGTGTGGGGACACTGCCTGGCTGCTAAATTCTGCTGGAATACCCCCAGGAAGGCCTGGCTGCTGGGTAACAAGGAACGAGGCAGTGGGTGGAGGAGTGCCATGGCACAGCCACCCTGCTCTCTGTGCTAAGCTGAAATTGCCCCTTATATCACCCACACCCAGAACCTCTGGCCACATAACACAAGGAGGAGGCAGCAACAGCTGCTCAGCACAGCTGTCAGAGGGAGATTCCAAACCCCTCTGCACCCTCTATTTGAATCACCAGTCAGCTCCCACCACAGCTCTGAGCTTCCTCGAGCAGCAGTTGTCATGTCAGCTTCCTCTCCCGCCCATGGGTGTCACACTCACATTTTCTGAAAAATCCCTTCACCCAGGATTTTTCTCCTGGGAAGCTGAGAAGTCTCAGCAAAAAAGGGAAACAATTCTTATCTGATTTGCTTCTCCTGTGTTTTTTGCTCCTTTGGAATGTGTTTGGAGATTGTTTACCCACAGGTGATTGTTTCTTTGGTTTCTGCTGTGAATTATTTTGACTCATTGGCCAAGCTGTGCCAAGACTCTGGAGAGTCACAAGTTTTCATCATCATCTTTTTAGCATTCTGTAAGTATCCTTTCTGTATTCTTTAATATAATATAGTATGTTAAAATAATAAATTAGCCTTCTGAGAACATGGAGTCAGGTTCATCATTCCTTCCTTTGTCTGGGGGCTCTGCAAATACAATACATGGGAATGTAAAGGCTGAGGAGATGCTGAGGCCAGCAGAGAAGACAGACAAGGCAAGTGTCATTTATTGTCAACTTTAAGAATGAGCACTCTCCACAAACTAAAACTTAAAAAAAAAATTAAAAAAAAAAAAGGAAGAAAACAAAGTTAAAATTTTGAAAATGTGACTAGGTAGAGGCAGTCTCTCCTCAGGCTGTGCAGAGCAGGTTCATAGCAAAGTCCTTGGCACAAAAGTATGGCAGACTGAAACCAAGCTGGTCTTCAGATGACCTTTCCCAACACAAAAAACAGTGGGCATGGCTCTGGAACAATGTGAGGTGTTACTAAAGCAAAGTAAAAAAAAAGTAACTGGGGAAAAGGGAGGGAATACACCTTAAATACCAAAACAATTTTGAATTGCTTGACAGCAGTGCCACATTATTACAAGCAAAATTATAAGCATCAGTACACAAATGGCTCAGACAGATCTGTTCCATTCCCCACTCAACCTCAACACAATCACAAGACCAAGTTTTTAAAAGTGTGTTTCTTTAGTATGCTTTTTTTAAGCCCCACAGCTGTGTGTTCCCCACTTCTATGTGAATGTCACACTTTTCTTAGGACTTTTACACTGCCTCCCATTATCCCAGCACCCAAGGCTTTCTGTGTGAAGTTCAGCAGTAAGAGGAAGCCCTCAACAGGCTTGCAGTTCCATGTGCTTGTCCTTGGAGTTCCAATTCTGCTTGGCATCAAAGTGCTTTGGAAAGTGAAGGGGTTGGCTTTGTCTCCAGAAGGCACAGCTTTAAACACACCATCAAAAAGTAATGCTTCTTGCTAAAAGGAAAAGCAAGCATGGGAATCAGCATTTGTTTAGATGCACTGTTCTGGAAGTAAAGTTCCTTGTTCCTAAGTAAATGCCCCCATGGTTTTGAAGGGGTGTGTGTATTCCCCCAGCACAGCTTCTTCACGTGTAAACACAAGCAAGTGTTGGCTCCAGCACTATTTTAACCCAATTGACTGCATGATGTGTGATAACTGTTTGAGAAGTTTTGGAATCCTGAAGGGCAGTTTTTTTTATTTATCAGCCCTGAAAAAAACACAAAGGGGATAGAAAAAAAAAAAAAAAAAGACTGAAGCCATGTTTCTTTAGTATGCTTTTTTTAAGCCCCACAGCTGTGTGTTCCCCACTTCTTTGTGAATGTCACACTTTTCTTAGGACTTTTACACTGCCTCCCATTATCCCAGCACCCAAGGCTTTCTGTGTGAAGGTCAGCAGTAAGAGGAAGCCCTCAACAGGCTTGCAGTTCCATGTGCTTGTCCTTGGAGTTCCAATTCTGCTTGGCATCAAAGTGCTTTGGAAAGTGAAGGGGTTGGCTTTGTCTCCAGAAGGCACAGCTTTAAACACACCATCAAAAAGTAATGCTTCTTGCTAAAAGGAAAAGCAAGCATGGGAATCAGTAAGCATTTGTTTAGATGCACTGTTCTGGAAGTAAAGTTCCTTGTTCCTAAGTAAATGCCCCCATGGTTTTGAAGGTGTGTGTGTATTCCCCCAGCACAGCTTCTTCACGTGTAAACACAAGCAAGTGTTGGCTCCAGCACTATTTTAACCCAATTGACTGCACGATGTGTGATAAACAACTGTTTGAGAAGTTTTGGAATCCTGAAGGTCAGTTTTATTTATTTATCAGCCCTGAAAAAGACACAAAGGAGATAGAAGAAAAAAAAAAAAGACTGAAGCCAAATTAAATTCTATTTCAGGTGAATTTATTGAGTTATAAAGAACCTGCCAGCTCCACCATATTTACAAAGGTTTTCAAGAGGATCTAGAGCTATTACTGCTACTGAACCACATGTTAAAAATGCATAAAACAAACCAAATCAACCACATCCATTAACTGTAAAAACACCATTTACCTTATAGAATTTTGAGGAACACTCAAACATAGGGAAAAATGCTTCCCAACCACTGATCTCTAAAGCAAGATTCTCATTTCTCCCTCTGATGTAGCTATGCCTGAAGATCTTGGTGTCTGACACCTTGGAACTTGGTGTCTTCAATAGACATGGCTTATGAATTGGGATTTTAAATAAAAGGTTCCTTGGAACTGCAAGGTGTTAAAACAATCCTAAAGAGCAGAATGAAATCCCCAGTTGGTTCCATTTGATACTTTTGCAAGGTGTTATTGCTGCCAGATGTGCACATAAAATCCTGTCATCGCTGTGGAGCCACAATCCAAGCAAACTCAGCCAAACTTCCCAGAGCACTGTCACTGTTCACATCTGAAGCAGCACTGCAGAAACAGCACCTCCTGCAAACACCACACTGCTGTTCTCTTCCTCCTGGCCACGACTCAAAGGATGATTTCAGCTGCAATTAATGCTCCCTAAATTCCCTGATGCACCTTTCCGTTCCCCTCTCCACCCACAGAGGAGATCATGGATTCTAAGGGGAGGAGAGAGCCTGCCTCCCAGTTCAGCTGGGTTCATTTCCAGGGATATTCCAGCTACATGTCACATCCTGAAGCAGCTCTACTACAATTCCACAATGCCAAAGGGATGTGGATGTGGCCTGTGTGCTCACACACCTGGATGCACTCAGTTCCCACTGGCAACAGGTGGCTCTGCTAGTCTTGTTTACAAGCCTATAGTAACATTTCCTTGATATTAAGCTTCACACATTAATTAATGTTTGGGGAAGAATTTACTCACTTGAGTGCCAGTGACCCTTCCCAGGGTTTTCACAGGTGAAATTTGCTGATCAGCAATCTAACACTGTAAAACTCACTTGTAAACTATCAACTAAGATTCAGAGTTACCCTAAGCACAAACTAAAACCCCAGAAACTAAGTCAGTATCGAATCAAGTAGCAGAGAAGTTGCTAATAGCATTTCAGAGGGTAAAAACCAAAACAACCAAAAAACATTGAAATACCTCTCTGGAATAGAGAAAGATGAAACCTATCAGCTTTATGTTTAAAAGAGAAACATGTAACTTTGTTTCTACTGCAAGGGCTACAAAAACAAAACCAAAGAGAAGCCCAAGCACCGTTCATGCATGAGAAACTACCTTCTAGCAAGAAGTATTTTATGGAGTATGTGCTACTCTAATGTGAGCTGGCATCAGACCTGCAAAGTCTTGCTCCACACGTCAGCAAGACTGTCAGAGGCACACCACACTGTCACACTGCTCTTCAAAAGGAAAAAAAAACATCCTCTCACACTCACAAAGCAAGCTACAGAGCTGCTCACTGCAAACCAGCAACTCATCTAGGATTTTAAAACTTTACACTCATATCAAGGAAGTTCCCATCAACATTGAGATTTGTAGCTGGGCCATGCTGAGAACACATTCAGCTCAAGCAGCACACACACACACGTGTCACCCATGTTGATATCCAAGGTCAGAATCAGGTGCTCAGGTCTTGAGGCAGTGGGTCAGATGTAAACTTTTTAACAGTTTCATGTCTGCAGGTTAGATGAAGAGCAATTCTTCAGAAGTGGCATTATCTTGGTGCTTGTGTACATAAAGAGAACACCAGGCTGCCACACCTGCTACACTGCATCCAGCCACAGGGTGAACTGGTCAAATCCAGTGCCAAACACTCAGCAGGAATCAAGCCATGACTGTGAGGAGAGGTTTACAGGAGAACTCTTTCAGGCATGGCAGAATATGTTTCCTTACCAGGAGGATGGCTGAACAAGCTGCACCCAGCAACACTTGTGACATGCTGCATGCATCTCTTGCAGCCCTTCAGAGAATTTGGTACAGATAATGCCACATTAATGTTACTGTGGGACACATTTATCAAGATATCTTTGCAACTCAGGAAAGCTTAGAGGGGTTTTTCCTAGTTACTTTTGCTGAGGTGAGCAGGAATTATTTATCAACTGACTAAAGGGTGATGAAACCTCTAGTACACCTTACCAAAGTGTTTCAAAGGTATTCAGGTCCCTCACAAGGAGCTACAGAATTTAAAAACTGAGCAGAAGAAAACCTTTGTGCTTCTTTTGTGGACTAAAGTCTGACTTAAAACCTATTACTGCCAGCCAGCAAAATGCAGCGATGCTAGGCTTTGCAAAGATGGTGGAGGAAAAGGGATTCCATCTGCATTCCTTAAAAACAAATACAGAGTAAAAAAAGATAACTGTGATAACTCTAGTAGTCAGAACATCTCTACAAAATTCTCTGGACCATGAACTGCCCACAGAAGATTCAAAATAACAAAGGCAGAGAGTTATCCAGCTGAGGGTGTTCTGAAAGACTGAAGAAAATCCACTGAGCACAAATTGACACAGCTACTGTGACACAGAAAAATCATAGCTGGCAACAGAGTTATCTGGTTCCAGTGACAGTTTTAGTGCCTATACATCCTGGACTAAATTACTCCAGTAAGCTGGTGCTTTTCTCCTTAACAGATCAGGACTGATTGCTGGTAGACACCAATATCACATCCCTTTATTTCTCTACTGGGCCATCCTCAGTGGTGGATCTGGGGCAGGCTGCCCTGCAAGTTTCCATGATCTGAATCATCTCTTCCCTTTCCAGTATCGAAAGCCTCGTGCTGCAATCTAAATTCCAGTTTTTGAAAAGGCAGAGGGTTAAACTATCAACCTGAGACTCAACAATTGTCCCTTCCAATTATTTAGTGCTTGAAACTGAGACATTCACACAGTGCAACCTAGCAGTCATACACACATTGTCACTTACTACCACACTGAACACAGCTGTGTTACACAGTGGGATTTAACTTCTCAGCAGATTTTACTTTCCCTTGATCTTCCACTTTTTTGATGGCAGCTTGGATAGCTTCTTGATCACCCAGAAACTGGTGAGGGCCCAGAGGGTGCAAATTCTCATCAAGTTCAAGAAGTATGGGCACACCAGTGGGGAGGGTGACATTGATGATGTCCTCATCGGAGATGCCTGCCAAAGAAAAACAAAACAGAGTTACACCTCCAGCCTCCTCACTGCCTATTGCCTTATTTCTGGGGTTACCTAAACTGTCAAGGACACCTTCCAGCCTCCATGGACACCACCAGCTACTCAAGGGTCAATTCCCAGCTGGGCAAGTCCTTTAGGAACAGCTGAAGGAGAGAATTCCCATCAAGGTGAAGACAGTTTCTTCACTTTTTCAGCCTACTCGTGTGAAATAAACAGGAAAAGATTGCCCTGGAGACTACACTGTTCCTTTAATACAGGACATGGAGTACAATAGGCTCCCCTCCATCATTTCCCAACTCACACATCACAAAAGATGGGAGCCCACGTGTGCTACTCCAACATGAAACAACCCCTACTGGCAGCCACTATAAACTCTTTAGAAAGGCAGGATAACAAGGTTAGTCTTTCTCTTAAATTTTCTGGGCAACTCTTATCACACAAACTGTCATAAAAATCAGTATTTAATTCTGCTTGTGTGAGAACCACTCTTTGCCCAGTCTGATTTCTTACAAGCAAGTTTATAGCAGGGTCCACAGTACTGTTCTCAGAATTCCTGTATACAAGATATTCATTTCCACTTTCAAATGAGAGGAAGAAAAAGGAGGCAGAAAGTCAACTTGTACAGCTTGGAGCATTCTTCTTTTTTCCACTTAACTAAAGGAATGTGTACCTGGAAAATAATATTTATGTTATGCAGACATGTAATTAAATATTTGGGCTCTCATCTCAATGAAATTGCTGGTTATTTTTAAATTGAACACACATCCAAAGCCTACCAAGTGAGTTTCAAGACCAAACATCCTAGTAAAGTTTCCACACAAAGTCTAAATAATTGCATTAAAAGCAGTGACTGCAAAGACATTATCTCTCAAAAAAATCAGGCAAAAGAAAGCTAATGCCATTGGGAATGTCAAGATTTCCTTTTCCCCCCTTTCTAGAAGCACTGAGGTCCCAGCAGCAGCCTGCTACTCTGAAGCAGGGCAGCTTTGGGTAATTCACTCAGAAAATGCACACCACCAAGCTTCTGAAGTGATGACACCATATAAACTAGACCAAGGTGCACCAAGCAAACATCCTCCTGGAGCAGCTGACAAAACAGATGGTCCTCAGAACACACAGGTGTAAATTTACCAGAGATTTTCACATTAAGGAGAAAAGCAGAGCCATCATGTTAACAGGAAAACACACACGAGTCAAGCAGCTCAGCAACAGTGGGGTGACAACAGGCCAGAAAAAACAGAACTGTTCATGAGGTGAGGATCATATTCCCCTGCCCAGAGACTATACCAACACCCAATTTTAGTGACCTATTCTTGCTTTATGCTCAGCACTTGGGTGAGCCCTAAGTTTCAGAAGGGCACAGAGCACCAGAAAGAAGCCTTTGCAAAGAACTTACACTTTGTTAAATATTGAGCATCAGTCCATTGGAACAAGTCACACTCAAATAGCTAAAGCAATTCTTGCACACAAGGGACAAATAATTCACCTGGTGTAAGCCACAGAATCAGACCTACAGGGAAAAAGCCTCAAAGAACACCTAAAATTTAAAAATGGCACAGAAACAGATGGGAAGAATACTGCATCCATTCACCAGGCACAAGCACAGTTCTCAGGGACTTGGTCTTCAAAACAAGCAGCCAAGCTGCCTGAGCTCTTATTTCGAGGATTCTTAAGAATTAGATTTTAATAACACCCACATCACCACGTATATTCCCAGAGAATCCACGCCTAGGAAGTGCTCTGACCACCTCCTAAGTTCAGTCTCCCAGACTAAACCATTGATATACACACAAAGCAGATGAAGTCATGCAGGAGAGTTTAGGCAAACCACATAATGTGGTCAGGAGACATGATATTTAAGAGTTTCCTCTGGAGATGGATTAAACAAAACTAGCTGTAGCTACATGGAGTCAGAAATGCATTTTACTGTTTTTACAGAACACAAAGTGACCACAATGTCAACTAGTACTGATTTACAAAGCAAAACAGTGCAGCCTAGGATAAACACACAGCTGCAAACATGATGGTTTTCTCCTCAGGAGTTTTCCCCATACAGAAGTACAGCCCCACAGCCACAAGTCTGGAAACACAAGCTGAAGTCAGATAAAAATCCTAAAGAAACACCAGTGCCTGCTGCTGTGTATAGCATTTCTGTTCTTCAGGAAGCAAGAAGCTGAGCAGGCTGCTCACACAAGCTCTTTGGTTGCAGGAGAGCTCACCAGAACACTCCCCAGCCAGCAGGCCAGGAGGACAGCAGAGGGATCACACCTTGCAGCAGCAATGGCTGCAGTGGGAGCTAACTGCTATCCAGTTACTCCATGTGCTGTAACTAGAACCAGCTGACCTTTTCCTGAGCTCCATCCCAGCTGGCCTGAGTCACAACCCAGCCTATGGCACAGGGAAGAAGGGTGAAATCAGGGCAAGACCTCAGCTGCTGACTCCAAGGTGCAGTGGTAAATAAGACCACTGAAGAAGTAACATGCTTCCCTCCAGTTTCATACCAAAGCCTGGGTCTCAGCGCTGCTGAAATCTGGAAGCAGTTTTTACCCAAGAAGTTGTAAAACCCAGGTCCTACCTACATACAGTTGTGAGAGCCCACAGATATTACTGAAGTACTCAGATGACTTCCTGAGGAGCCCAGATAAAATGCTGACCAGGCAGCTGCACTCCTCAATGGCCATCTCCCATGCTCTGTGCTGAGAGCACTGCTCCTCACCTGCACAGCAGGGAGCAGTTAGGCACAGGAACACTACAGTAACTTGGTACAGCACTTATTATAAAAGAGACCTTTCAAAATCACATTCAGAATTCCTTCCCAGCTCACTTATCCTCCATTTAACCAAACTGGGTAACCAAACACAAATTGGAAATATCTCCAGGCAAGCTTAAGAATTCACCTTCATGTGGTAGCCCATGGAGTGTTTTAAAATATTTGGACCTTGCAAAGTCCTACAGAGACAAACCCCACCAATTTTGAGCACCTACAGCACTTTCAGAGGGGCTGGTTCAGCTTCCCCTTCCCTCTCACCTGTTCTCACCAAGTTCCTCCCTCCAATTCTTATGGTCAGAGGAACCCAAAACCCACAAGAGCAATTGAGAATAACAACACCCTCCTCTCTGCATGTCGACTGCACTTGAGGCCAGATGATTCATCCAATAAAAGATCATACACAAGATCAAATGCATCAATTCAGCCACAAAAGCTTGTTTAATACTGGTGCTTCGTCACTGAGTTCCAAATCAGGTCATAGCATCCCATATGCTTAATGAAAACACTAAAGCTTTAGCCTAGTAAGGTAAATATTCAGAGCCACTTTCTGCCCTCCCTGCAAGACAGATCTAACCTCAACAGGACAGAGGAGGGAAACAAGCAGTGTTAGAATCTGGCTTTTCATCTTGACAGAATGCCACCTTGCTGTGCAAATTTTAAGGAAAGAAAGATGGGTGGGCTACAACCATGGCTGTAGTATACAATTTACCATTTTTGTTCCACTTGTGTCTGCCAAGACTTTCTGTCTGTATGAGGTTTCCATAGCCAGGCTTTAGTAGTAGGGGGCTACAGTGGGACACCAAAAGAGAACTGTGGTGGGTTGACCTTGGCTGGACACCAGGTGCCCACCACGCTGCTCTATCACTCCCATCCTCAGCACCATGGGTGGGGAGAAAAGATGCAAAAATAACTTGTGGGTCAAGATAAAGGCAGTTTACTAAAGCACAAGTAAAGCCCAAGCACAGAAGTAAAGGATAACAAAGGATTTATTCTCTACTTCCCATCAGCAGGCAATCCAGTCACTTGCCACTAATCAGGGCTTCAGTGTGCAGAGCTATTGCTTCCATGTCATCACAAATGCCCTTCCTCCTTTCTCTTAGCCTTTCCTGCTGAGCAGACACCACAAGGACTAAGGAATATCCCTTTGCTCAGTTTGGGTCAGCTCTCCTGGCTACATCTCCTCCCAAGGGCTTGCCCAAGCACCAAAAGAGAACTGTGGTGGGTTGGCCTTGGCTGGACACCAGGTGCCCACCACGCTGCTCTATCACTCCCATCCTCAGCACCATGGGTGGGGAGAAAAGATGCAAAAATAACTTGTGGGTCAAGATAAAGGCAGTTTACTAAAGCACAAGTAAAGCCCAAGCACAGAAGTAAAGGATAACAAAGGATTTATTCTCTACTTCCCATCAGCAGGCAATCCAGTCACTTGCCACTAATCAGGGCTTCAGTGTGCAGAGCTATTGCTTCCATGTCATCACAAATGCCCTTCCTCCTTTCTCTTAGCCTTTCCTGCTGAGCAGACACCACAAGGACTAAGGAATATCCCTTTGCTCAGTTTGGGTCAGCTCTCCTGGCTACATCTCCTCCCAAGGGCTTGCCCAACCCCAGCCTATTTGGGGACAATGTTGGAGAGACATTCCTGATGCTGTGGGAGCACTGCTTAGCTAGTGGCCAAAACACAGGCCAAGGTCATTTGCAGTAAGGCCCAGCAAGCTCACAAGAAATCAGCAGCAGAAGCACTGAGCAAAGACTGGGGGAAATGACAGGGAGAGCCAGACCATCTCATTTCAAGACCACTGGGTTGTTAGATCTCAAGCTGTTTCCTGCAAATGCACTCACATAAGCAGTATTTCTTTAAGAAGGCCAAGCAGAAAAATCAGTGAAATAATCTTATTAAGAAGCCCTCAACACACAATCCACACCAGGTCACAGTGGGCAGTTCCAGCATGTAAACTCCTGGGATACTATTGGAAATTCTAGACTCAGGCATTCCACAAACCCCTGTTCTGAGGTACCTGACACCAGTGCCCAGGGTTAAATGGCTGGGAAGAAAGAAGAGCTGAGACAGCCCACCAATCCTTCATCTGGTAAATCAGTCCACTGGACTTGGTCTCCAGTCAGCACTTCAACACAAATGGGGCAAGGTGTCACAAGTATTACACTAATATCTTCATAAAGGGACACTGTCAAAAGGATTCCAATATGAAGCACTGGTTATTAGATAAAGAGAAAACTATCCTCCCCCAAAGAACTGAGAAAAAACACCTGCAAATAGATCCTGTGCATCCAAGATGCTCTTTTAGCACGACAGTCTACAGACATTTCATACACCTTGAAGGTCCACTCTGTGCAATGAGAAAACAAGAACAAAATCCAAACCCACAATCAAAGCCTTTTGAGCATGATACTGTTGCTGCAATGATTGCATGCAAGTGTAAAGCAGAACTACATTTCCAGCTCTTTACCAATTACTCAGAACAAGGAAAACACAGATTCAGAGAATTGCAGTCCTGTTTCAAGAAAATACCTCTGTGAAACAGTAACTTCAAGGGATACTCTGTAGTCTTTTAAGAAAAAAATTCAAATTGACACAAAAACAATTAAAATTGTTCATCAGATCCAACTGAAGTTTGCTTCCTTGACCAATTTTGTACTTCCTCCTTGGAGACCACAGACATTCTTACCTTGCCCAGGTAAGTAATATACACTACAGAATAACATATAAAGCTCCAAGGCATTGAGTAAGAAGGAGAGAGGAAGGCTGAAACAAAGGCCCTTACCTTCCACGTGCTTCAGCAACGCCCTGCTGCTGTTGCCATGAGCAGAGATAAGAATCATTTTGCCACTTTTCAGTTCTGGCACTATCTTTTCATTCCAATAAGGAAGGAGTCTTTCAAGCACATCTTTGAGACTTTCAGCCTTTGGGAGATTCTCCTGAGAGACATCACTGCATTTGTAGCGGCGGTCGTTGTAGATCTCTGCATAGTAGGGGTGAGATTCAGAGATGGGAGGTGGGGTGACATCGTAGCTCCTCCTCCAGATTTTCACTTGCTCCTCGCCGTGATTCAGAGCCATCTCTGCCCTGTTGAGCCCGATCAGCGCTCCGTAGTGACGCTCGTTCAGCCTCCAGGAGCTCTGGATGGGGACCCACTCCTGGCCCATCTCCTGCAGGATCAGCCAGGCAGTCTGGATGGAGCGGCTCAGCACGGAGGTGAAGACGAGGTCGAACTCGAAGCCAAGGGCTTTGAGGTGTTTGCCACAGTTCTGAGCTTCCTTTATCCCATCACTGCTCAGCTTCTGGTCCACCCAGCTGCAGAAGCGATTCTCCTTGGTCCAGGCTCCTTCCCCATGTCTCAGGAGAACGAGCCTATACTTTGCCATTTTGGTTGCAGCTTAGCACAGAGGGCAGCTGGTCTGGCATCTAATAGCGATACATCTGGACAAAGACATGAGACAGACACATCAAACATCCCACAGAAAATGCAGTACAAGTAGCAATAAGGCAGTGAAAAGTAAACAACTATCAGAATCAAAACAAGCAAAGAAACAAGTGTTGGCTGAGTATGATTTTACAATTGAGAGTGGGAGGAATTCCAAACCAGGAGACCTCATGTGGGAAGCAAAGTGGCATCCTTCACCCAGCTTGTTGCAACTAGCCCACTAAACAATTGATTAGGAACAGATTTGTACAAGCTGCTCCTGCCTACAGTTTCCCTCAAGTGCTTAAACAGAGTCTCACTCAGTAGCACAGGCTCCCAGAGGAGCAGATCTCCCTCACTGGGCAACTCTGAGGTGCCACATGTAGCTCGAGCCCACCAGGGCTATCCAGGTCCTCACTGCTCCAAGGGAATGCAGGCACAGAGAGCAGCTGTGGCCCTCAGCCAGGGGAACTGGAGAGTGGGACCACAGAACTGCAACTGGCAGCTGCAGCTGCAACCTTATCAGCTTTTCTCAAAGGAGGTGTCAACATAGTCACACTCTGCATAATTTCCTCATATCCCCATCCTGTCCTGCTAATTATGCCAGTCTATGCTTGATTTTTTCCCCAGGCCACCTCCTCCATCATTCCTCCATACTCAAGTGTGACAACACAGATACTCTGGGATGCAATGTACAACTACTGAGTCCTCATTTCCCTGAATCCCCAAGTGACCTCACAGATTATCCCATCCTCTTCCTGACTTTCAAATCTGTTTCTCCTCTCCTGTCTGTGAATTACAATGCCAGGTTCTTAGGCTTTTTGTGCCCACTCCAAAAGCAAAAACATTAATCCTGATGCCTATTTGCTGCCCCCATTAAGTCAGACAGCTACACACTCATAAGGTCAAACAGCACCTTTCTCTTTTTCCTTGACCAAGCAACATCTCCTCTGGATTGTTTTCAGTGGCAGATACCTTTTGACCACACACCCAAGGGTCTGCCAAGGTGGTCAAAGATCTGCTAGCAGATAATGGGGTGCCTGAAAGGGTCATCTAACACAGGACTGCAACTCTGAAAGCCCCACCTGACCCCTCCGACCTGAGACAAAAGCTGGATGGCAATGGACAGAGAAGGGGAAAAAATATAAAATTACAACTCTCTGCACTGGGGAACAGCTGTACCTCAGAATATTAACAGTAATAAGAATATTAAGTGCTCTCAAAACCATGGGCAGTGGGAGACTGAGCTCTGATTTCTGCACACCCAACCTTGGGCTAGGTTTCCATGACACACTTCAGGAGCTCTCCTCATCTCAAATCAGTTTGAGCTGCTTCAGTCACACTCCAAGCAGCTCAAATTCAGGCCCTCTGTGACCCTGAATTAGGTCAGCAGGATGGGGTAGGCCCATGCATTCTGGGTTTTCAGAAACACCCAGCACAATACCAGCATTCATTTTAACAGGCTTTCAAAAAAAATGTCTAGAAAAGTTGAATTCATTAAGAGACTCAGGAATCTGATCTTGCTTGTAACAGCAGCTTAGTTCTCCTCTAATCTCACGTTAAGACAGTCTACATCACACGAGGGCACTCTGCAAAACCCCCCCAGTGCTGACTTCTGCCTAATGGCACAGCTCAGGATTAAAAAGCCTTTAAGGACTGAGATTCTTACAGAATATCAGGAGGCATTGTCTGACACCAATAGACAGCTGAAAAATAGAAAAGAAAGTCTCATTTCATGCAAAGGCAGGCTGAGATTTGTGTAGGGCAAGAAACATCTCAGACAAAATCCCCTGCATGGCCCACTTTTTCCACTCCCAATAATGAGCTGCACTTTAAGCAAAGAAATCAGCTATTGCCAGGATTCAGGTGTCATGTCACATCAGATCCAACACGAAGCTGCACCCTGTAAGACCCTAGGTTTGTAACAAAAACAAGTATTTGACAGCATTTCTACCTAAAGCAACTGATCCTTACTCAACATACCACAGATAAAACTTAAAAATTGCAGTGTTCACAGCATGAGCTACTACACATAAAATAGCTCCACAGAAAGCTCTAGCTCTGCAAATACTTCATTATTTAGATTAATTGATTCCATCATGCACAGGAATAGATTACCTAACTTACAAAACCAAATTAAGACCCAACAATAGGGGTGATGCACCTCTTTACCAAAGTTTAATTGGCATTTTAGCCAAAATAAATAAAATAATTAGTTAGTATAAGAGATACACAAAGACCAAATAGTACCTGGGTATCATAAATTCCAGTTCACTCATATAAAACATTAGGCAGAAGCACAATTCTCAAACAAATTTAGAAAGAACTAGCAAGTCAGAGTGTTGTTTAAATATCAGTCCACTTTTGGAAGCATTTAAACTAGAAAGCCTTAGAGCAACACATGGAAATAATCCTACTCACCTTTCCTACAGCAAAGGAACAACCTACACAAATCCCAGCACAGGCTCAAGAGCTGCTTTATACAGAGGACAGCACACACTCTTGGCTGGTTACCTGCAGGGAAAGAATAAACACCAGCGCTCACAGAAAGAGCCCACAAGTGCAAATGGCCATGCCAGCCACCACTTGCTCTCAAAGCTGTTAAAAAAATAGAGCACACACCGCTTGTATGGGCTGGAAAAGCTACTAAATACTTTCTCCAAAAAGATGCCAACGCACAGCTCCTGCATTTCCATCAAGGGAAAGTTTCTGGTCTCCCACATGCCGCGGGACATCATTTGCTCCCTAAGATTTGTTTAGGCTGCAATTACCATAGCTCTATTGTGCAGAAATCTACCAAAAGCTCTGTGAGACCACGGAGGATAAGGACAGCAGAGCTGGAGCCAGCACAGAGGCTCTGGATAGGCTTCCAGCGAAGCTGTGCGTGCCCCATGCTAGAGGTGCTCAAGGCCAGGCTGGCTGGAGCCTTGAGCAGCGTGGCTCAGTGGAAGGTGTCCCTGCCCATGGCACGGGGATGGAACTAGGTGGCCTCTAAGGTCCCTTCCAGCCCAAACCATTCTGTGTTTCACTCCATGAGAGAGCAGAACCCAGAGCCCCAGCTGAGCACAGGAGGGCAGCGCACGGTGCTCAGGAGAACACCTTACAATCTCCTGGCCAAGCACAGCTCTAAGGTCCAACACCAGCGGCGGCCACTTCAGGGCTTCTGCTCCAGCCGGGACGAGCTCCCCTGCTCATCCCTTTTCCAAGGCGTCCCTGTGCGGAGCACCTGCGTGTCCCAGCCCTCCCCGAGCACGGAGGCCCAGCCACAAGCAGGGCAGCCCCTCCCGGACGCGCAAACACCCGCGGCCGCCAGCCGGGGCGGCGACCCGCGCACAAACACAAACACGGCCGCGGCACACACGCGGTGCCTCGCAGCCATGCTGGGACAACACCACCATCCCTCTCTGGAGCGCCGGAACAGCCCCGCCGAGGAAACCCCCCCGAACCCAGGGCCGCCCCCCGCTGCCGGGAATTACCGGGCTGAAGCCGCGCCGCCTCACGGGGAGCGCCGCAGCCGCCGGGCCGGGCCAGGGGCGGACCGCGCGTCTTATTGCCTCCGCGCCCGCCAGAGCGGCGAGAGCTGATTGGCCGGCCAGGCGGATGGACAGCGGGCTCAGCCAATGGGCGCGGCGCGGGGCGGTGACGCGGTGCCCCGGCGCTGCCGTGCCCGGGGATGCTGCGGCCATCCCGGCCCTCTCCCGGCCGCGGGAATTCCGGCCGCCCGGAGCGGGCTCGTCTGCCGCCAGCGATTCCCGCAGAGATGCTGGCTCCCCCCGCGGGTCCGGACACCCAGAGGCGTCCAAACCTCTGGCTACACCCGAAACCGCTTTAGGACCTTCTGGTTTTGGTGAAAAGCAAAGGGCCAAATTCTAATTACTCATAATGAAATCAGTAGCCAAAAACAAAAACAAACAAAAAAAAAAAAAACCAAACAAAAAAACAACAACAACAACAATATATATATATATGTGTGAGTCTTCTTAAGGATCGTGCTAGCTCCCTCATTCCCACAGGCTGTAATCCCAATCTGAAGTGGTTATAAACAAGTGGATGGAGCAGCTCTGGTTCGAAACAAGAGGAAGAGGAAGATGGTGTCCTTCAGTGCTTCTATTGCCATAGGTCTGATTTTATTTCTAAAAAGAGCAGAGCATGCCTTTCATACCCCATCAGTCACATTTTCTTCTCTAAATGCTTACCCCGGAACAGCCACAAGGTAAATCTCAGAGGACCACAAACTGGATGTACACCAAATGTGCTCTGTCATCCTCCCCTACAGGGGATAGAGGTGATCTTCCCTTTTTAATAAATTAAAAGGGACACATGAAAAAAAAAGATGGAGGATTCAGATTCTGATAGAAAAAGACAGGAGTAAACTTAAGAAAATTTGGAGCGGAGGTATTAAAAGAATGTCTCTAGTGTGCTGTGAGGAGAAATGGTGTCTAATTTAACATTTATAGGGCTAAAAGATGGGGGATTCAGATTCTGATAGGAAAAAGTGACAGGAGTAAACTTAAGAAAATTTGGAGCGGAGGTATTAAAAGAATGTCTCTAGTGTGCTGTGAGGAGAAATGGTGTCTAATTTAACATTTATAGGGCTACCTAGATGCTAAGATGTCAGTGGGAAAGAAGGCTAATCCAGATGAAACCTGCTTTGCTGGGCTCACAGCACTGTGTGGTAAGAGTGGCCAGGCTGCTGGTGAGCAGCATCCTGCTTCTCTTTGGTGGTTACTGCACTTTGTTCCTCATTCATTTGGGAAGCTCCAGAAAGCATTCTGCATCTCAGGGAGAATTCTTTAAATGCATTTCCTGACAGAGCTATTCCTGACCTCACCACAGAACCACAATAAAATCTGCTGCTTCTGCGCTGCATGTGCATTTCTCTTAACAGTTACACATAAAATCCTTTTCACCTCATCCACCAGCTTTAATATTAACAACTACCTCTCATTTCTGCCAGGTTTGTCTAAGCCAGAACTTAGAGTATAAACCCAGTGCAGCCTGTGTAATCAAAGCAATACTCGAGTTCACAGTGTAGAAGAGTTTGATTTGCTCATCAGCTCAAGCTGGTGAAGAGAAATGCTGCCACATCCCACTGCACAACCACACACACCTGCAGTCACCATGCCTTCTGGCAAGCTGGTCTATTGACTTGGTAAGGAAAAGAAGCAAAGTTCCTAAGATAGAAGGAAAAATGTCTTTTCTTGACTATCAGCACTGTAAGAATACGATTAACAGAAAGAAACATTCTATGCCAATATGCAGTTGTGAGTGAGTAGACAGTAACCCATGCCACAATCCAGGACCTCTATGGCCATTAAATACAGATTTTTTTGTGTCCTTTAGTCTTTAGGCAAGACCATTTCATTAGCATGGCAAAAGCAGCCTAATGACTTTGATTCACATTTCAAAATATCCAAGGACAGAAGAGTCAAAGCCACATCCCTGTGCGTGACTTCTTGCAGACAGCTACACTCACTTGGCAGCTATTATCTCTCAGACCAGCTGGGTTGTGTTTTTCAGGGTCTCTGCTCTGGAGCCCTTCCAGGCTGTTGCATTTAGCTGGAATGTTTGTGGCAGAATTAGTCCAGGAAACTCCTTTCCTCAATGCATAAACTTCTGCCAGGGCACCAGTGCAATTGCACCACTCTGAATAAAGGCCTGGAGCTGAGCAAGGCAGAAGCAGAAGGAAACAGAAGTGGAAAGAAGAAAGGCTGATTAATGATTGATTAAAACTGTGGCAAACAGGAGCGTTCTTCACTGATTATGCCCTTGGTACTCTTTCACAGAATAGTTACTTTGTTCAAAGCCAGATCCAGTGTTTGCCACAGAGCATTGCAGACATAACCATTTTAATTTCCAGAAAACCCTGAGCTCTTTGTTTACAACTATTTGGTGCATGATCTGTCTTCATTAATAATTTCATGCTCAAAATAAAGTTCTGTAATCAAGTCCTTGCACTCTTTAATAACCCTGAAACCCTCTCTCTATAAGTTCTCTTGTGTGTTTTCCTACTGCATGAATTTGTCTCCTTTTCTAGACCCTCCCTATTCCCTCCCAGCCCATTCTCTCTGCCACCCAGATGGGTGCCCAGGAAATCCTCCCTCACCTTTTTCTGGAGTGCAGGCCCATTCATTTTCAACACTAGACATTTTTTCCCCTACAGAAGATCTAGATACTGTCTGCTGTCCATGCTGTTGTCTCACATTCCTATTCTATTGATGATGGTCCATTTCCACCTGAGTACAGAGAAAGCTCTGGAAGTATAAGACACTACGAAGAGAAAAACATCCTTACTGCCTCCTGAGCATTCAGAATTGCAACACTGTAAAGTGACCCTGCCTAAATCCTTCTCTTCATACATCTCTACACACCAGACCTCAGACTAACAGAAGGAAAATGAACGTTTTTCCATCAGAGCTCAGGGAGCAGGAGCAGGCAAGGACGTGCCAGGCTCCCTTCTCTCTGTTGGAGCCTCTCACCACTCTTGCAGTACCCACACACATGGTTATCAGCATTTCCTTGGCTCGAGCACATCTGTGCGTGGGGAATTTTTCATCACACACCTCCCCCTGTTTGTCAACATATCACACCACCACATCTTAAACCAAGCCTAGGATTACCTCAAACTTGGGGGTGCACCTGACAGAGCAGCGAGGCACACCTTGCACACCAGGTAGCCACCCAATTACAATTTCAGCTTCTTAGCAAAGGTCCTTTTTCACCTTTTGTTTTACTAGTTTAGGCACTGCTGAATATTAATACAATGCTGCTTTAGTGTTTTAACACAGTGGGGCTTTCGTCCTGTTTGGGATGGAGGCAATACACAATTTCAGTAGATTCTCTTTATATCAACACCAGAAGTGTAAGTCCATGTGAAGAGAAAATGAAGTACTCTACCTTTTTCTTCTTCTCTCTCTCTCTAACTGCATTACTTGGAGGGAAAATCTGTTTAAAAAAAAAAAAAAATATGAGTGTGTAAGCACTTAAATAACCCTGCATTAGTCACCAGAATCAGAGCTTTACTCTTTAAGTATATGCAGAAGTTTTTCTGAATCATTAATACCAAATAAATGACTGAGAAGGAGGAAGAAAATACATAAAAGCCCTCATTATATGCAAAACAGATGGAGGGAAGCTGCTTTGGGAGGCATCGTATTCTAAACCTGAAGTGGGAACTGAATTTTTTATGTAATCCCAATGGCTGGGTACTGGTAATGTTATTCTGAAGTAAAAAAGGTGACTTCTGTCTGTTCTTCTGAAATATTAATTTAAAAAAAATTATTTTATTTCTGCATATAAATGCACATTTTTCAAGCTGAGAAATGGGAAAAAAGCTTATATTCTCTATGCCCTTAAAACCATTACATTGTCATCTTCAAATAAACACCTCAGCACAGCAGGTGCCTAGAACATGCAAAAAAGTGTGTGGAACACAATGTTCTGAAGAAATCCTCATGAATACAGTTCTAGTCTTCAAAAATGCCTCTAAAAAAGTTTTACAAGGTATCAACGACTGGGAAAACAAAATTCTGTCCCACAATCAAAACTTTTCCCATTTCTAGAGCCAGAGACACAATTTGAAAATTTACAAGGTTCACTTTTAAACTTTGTGGGTTGGGAGGGGTTTACATTTCAGATTTTGGGTTGGAGCATTTCACTGGTTTTTAGTCACAGTATTGTACAAATTAACTTCTTGTAGCAGTATCAAAAGCAAAGAAAATCCTGTGATTAATCTGCTTGTTTTTTCCCCCCATGATAAACAAAGTGCTCCAGACACCAGACGTCAGTAAGGAACTGTCTGGGAAGAGATAATTTTAAAGGGCTTTGAAAAAAAGAAAGCAACAGGGTGGTGTCTAGTCATGATAAGTTATTTTGAAAACAGACTGGATAGTGCTGATACTAGAACATGATGACAGCACGTAACAATCTGGGCAAATACAACCAAAAAGGGTAAAATTGGAACTTCAGTGTCATTGCAGAGAATGGTGAGAACAACAAACACACACCACACATACTCAAGTTTGTGTGTATGAATATCTTGCTAGGAAAAATAATGGTTCACCTCAAAAAAATTGTTCTAAAGTCTTTTACTTCCATGTTACAATGAACCCTGGGTTAACTAACACCTTGTTGATGTGTGTGTAGAGTTATCTCTGTCTGTATTTATGATGTTTGTTTTCTCACAAACACTCTACAAATCACAAAGACCTTTCTGGTGCTTCTTATGTTTCTGTCCATGGTATGTGGCTCTCTTGCATCACAGCAGTTTACAAAACAAGACTGGCTGAAATTCAGTTTGGTTTTGAATGGAGCACAAAAATGAGCTTCCTGCACAAAAAGTCTGTCCTATGTGTCATGGTTTGATAATGTCAAGAGAAGGACTGAGTCACACTGTTCTTCTACTTTTACTGTAACTCCTCAGAATTCACTGGGGCTGCTCCTGACCGTAAAAAGCAACAAAATCAGGCCTCTCTTTTAGAGGATTGTTTCCCAGGAAACTTTAGGAGTTAGGTTGCTAAATAAATAGCTGTGTATCACAAGTTAATTCATGCTTCCTCCCCCTCCACCCCACCTCATTTCTTTAACAAAAAAGGAGCATGAGTGGAAAGTCAGACAGGACTAATAAATCATGCATGATGGGGAGTCAGAATATCCAACTTCCCAGAGTTTTTCAATTCTAATTTTCATCTGTTTTACTTACATGGAAAACCATTCACTTAAATAATTTTGTGCCTGACTTCCATTATTTCTTCTATTCAGAATTAGTCTATTCCTCTATATTGTCACCAGATTTAGCTATCCATGGAAGGGCCAGGAAAAAATATTTTGCCTGTAATTCAGTATCTCCTTTTTGTCTTACAAAGAAAGAGACTTTTCTCCTTCAGCACTATCCAACATTCAACAGTCTAGGTGGGTCAAGTACTTGTTTAAACATTGAGTATTGCTGTCCTTATTCTTCTCTGTCCAAGTCTGCATCTGTAATGTATCAAACAAGGGACTGAGCCAAGATCAATACAAGGGATGTGTGAGGGGAAAAATGGGCACTACGGTCCTGCCCTTCTTAAGAAGGAATTTGCAGAAGTAGATGACATCTGGAAACAACCTGTGTTCTTTTTGGGGAAGGGTATAATGTCTCTAGAAAGACACCACAAAATGAGGCACATGCTGTTGGACCAAGGCTCCTTGCCCTTCTCAAGATGCAGAAACTATAGAGATGAAGAAGCCACTTTATCTGCTCTTACGGTTGCATGTCTTTTGTGGGGACAGCTGGGAGCACACACAGGCCAAACTAATTTTCCTGGCTTCTGCAGCAGCCCACATGTGGCCACCATCTCTTCCCAGCCCCTGGGGCTCCACACAGGTCCTGCTTGCAGGACAAGCAAAGTCCCCAGCCAAGACAATTGCTGGAAGCCTCGTGCTAGAACAATGTTCAGCCATGGCTTCCTCCCTGCTCATCCTGAATTCCTTCTGGAAATGACAGATGCTGAGAGTGCGGGAGTCCATCTGACCAACCCTAGAGCAGACCTGGAGCACAGAGTGCAGCAACTGCACAGCCATGGATTAGTGAAGGACAATGAGCCCAACTTCTGTGGCAATCACTGCACTTTCCACATCCCCACTAAATGTTCAGATTGCCCACGGGTCCTGCCATGTGACGGGAGAAACACCACATGAGGTTCTGCTCTCGTATTTACAAAACCTGAGTAACTCAGTCAGCTAAAACAATCTGGCTCCCCTGCTGTGTACGAGTTCAGGTTATAAAGCAATTTCTATTCAGCTCTAACTGTACAGATTCCACAGTGGTATTTTTCGTGTTGTTCCTAATCAAGATGAATTCATTGGTTTTACAGCATGCTTCATTTTGTTTTGTTTTTCAAACATGAAAAACCAATATTTCCAACACTTTTCAAAATGTTTGTGTTTTTTCAAAGGGAAAACATATTTCTTCCTCCACTCTTAGGACATTCAAAGCATCCTTTTCCTTGTCAAAACCAGACATGGCTTACTGCTGAAACTTGAAAGGAACCATGAAAATATTTTTCCATGAGAACAAGAGCCTCTACTTGGCAAGAAAAGTAGTCAACTGTTCTCTAAAGTGATGAGCTTTGGAAAACCTACAGTCTGTATATAGGAGAAAGGAAAATCTCATTCCTGTGATAACCATGCCTACCAACACAACTGGACAGGAATGTAGGTCTGGGATGGGCAAATTTTCCATTTATAGATGAGATGTGTTTGGATGCTGGCCATGGTGTTCTTCCTATTTAATCGAGGTTGCCTATCCCCTCATTACAAAGCCCATTCTCCCACAGAAACAACTGAGAAGGTTTGGTCCGTGTTGATGCTTTGGTACCTGCTCTTTTTACAGGGCTTGACCTAGAGAAAATCAAGCAAAGTATTTGCCAGTCCCACATTAATCCACCTCTCCAGTCTGTGATCAGAAGGTTTCTTTTTACAAGTTAAAGAAAAGACACAAAAGACACTGGCATGTTTCTGCTCCCACAGCAACCAGTCCTGGCCTGTGCAAGGAAGTTGCAGTTTAATTAAACCATTTCAAAAGCTGATGCTGTTAAATTAATGTGAAGTCTTTAGGAGGATGGATGTTATTTTGCTGGAGTAGTTTCTACTCTTTTAACTGAAGTGGTAAGGAAGGGATTTAAGCTAAATCAATACACAACATACTTCAACTGATATGTGTCCAAAAAAGGCATTTGCATCAGCATAATGAAACGGTGCAAGATTTTCATGTAGACAAGGCTCAGAAGAAAATATAACTATATTATTCTTTGGGAATATCATGAACATGCCTTGTTTTGCCCTTGTCTGCTGTCAACACCTCCTCCACTGCCTCCAGGGGTCTGCTCCCCACTGCCTGACAGTTTTATTAACTATATCTTCCTGTCCTGTTTACCCTCAGGTACCCACTTGTTGGCAAGTTACACTTCTCTTTATCACCAAACCACCACCCCATTTGATGTAGTTCTCAAGAACTGTAGCTTCTTGCAGTTCTGCTAAGTTGAAAGGTTCCTCTTCAGGGTAGTTTCAACTTTATGTTCCCCAGATTTTCCCCTTTCCTCTATTAAAAATAAAAGTTACTCCAGCTTCAGAACACAACTGGCCGGGTTTTTCTCAGAACCCAAAATATATTCATTTCAGGCTTCTGGTGTGCCCAGTGCTGTGGAAAGGTCAGGCTGTGACTACTCCTTCTGGAAAGCTCATCTTTCTCCAGAGGGTGACATACAGTGCATGAGAAAAAGTGTAAAAAAGGCCATTTTGAGCAGCTACTTTCTCAGCCTTGCATGATATCCCAGCACTTCTTGAACTCACTGGCTTATACTAGAAAGTGGGGAATGTTCTTGGGAAGAAGGAAAAGGTCAATCCTTCCCCTTACTGTTCTTGGTTTGTCCCCCAGAGTCCAGCACAGCCAAGCCAACAATGGGATGCAGAGCTGAGGAATTTTCTCTCCCCATTTTGCTGAGCCACTGCTGCTGCACTGAGAGCTGCAGGGGAACACAGGGGATCTCTGGGGATGAGGAAACAGTGCTGAAATCACAACATGCAGCCATTCCCAGCGCACCAGGGCCAGCATGCAGAATAGGTTAGGCAGAGTTTGGTACTGCACTGGTAGAACAAAGAGCTGCTGGCAGACATTTGAACAAATGGCTCGTTTCCATGTTGAATCTATGGCAAACTTCCCAATGGAAGCAGCCTCTGGCTGCAAATGTGCACTCAACAACCCGGGTCTGTGCAGCACACTCTGCCTCTCACCAGCTGCACATGGCCCACAGTCCCCACAGGTAGCTGCAGTCAAAAACAAGCTGGAGCTGTTGAGCACAGAAGAGTGCTCCTAGGTGGAGTAAATCCAACTATACTAAATTTTAGATAGTCCTCATGCTTGTCCTCAGAGATAAATGTTCAAGGTAAGTGCCTTGTTAAGAGGAGGGAGAAAACAGACTTGATTTCCTCTCCACGTGCACAACAATGCTTAAAAGTGCAAGTTTTGGAACATCTTTGAGACAAGTGGTGAGCTGAAGCAGGAGAATGTCTCATACATTTCAGTGCAAAAGACAGCAGGGAAAAGGAAATTCTTTTTTGTGTCTTTAAGGATCAGATAAATCAGAAAATTGATGATAACTGGCTAATTTCCTCTTTAAACCCAGGTTTGTATCTTTTGAGTCCCTACCAGAAAATTTTCAAGTCTATTTATTACAAATGTAATCCACCTTTATTTTTTTTTCTTCTTATCCTTTTTTAGGAAAAGAGGCAGAGGAAGAGAGACTTTCCAACTTCTCATTATTACAAAATCTAAGGAATAAAATACCCAATTCAATCTGCTGAGTTAAGACACCTTTATTTTTTTTTTTCTTCTTATCCTTTTTTAGGAAAAGAGGCAGAGGAAGAGAGACTTTCCAACTTCTCATTATTACAAAATCTAAGGAATAAAATACCCAATTCAATCTGCTGAGTTAAGACTGAAGAAATGCAAAAGCTGTAGCCACACACAAGTTTAACTCTGCCCCCGTGTGTGCAAACATTAAAACACATCCATCCACCCTGGATCCTGCTCTGGTTTTGTGCTAAAGGGTGTGTTAGTTTGTGGCAGTAATAATATATGGCATCCACAATGACCATGAAACTACAGGATACCTTTTCTCTTCTACACTCACATGTCATTGCATTATTAAACTCCTTTATGACTGCACTGGCTGCTGAAAAAAACAAGCCATAGTGATATGCCTGCTGCCCACAATAATAAAACAGAAGAAGTGAAGAAAAGAAAAAAGACAGTTCTGAAATTTTACCAGAGCGATGATCCTGTTAAGACTGTGAAAAAACAGGGACTTAATTTTACTTCTCACATTTGGCATGCATGTCAACTTCCCTGTTCTACACCTTTCAGCTTGAGGAGTGGTTTCCAACACCTTTGGAAGGTGAAAAGGAACTCCTTCCTCTGCAACGTCACACTGAGGTTTCTCCAGCATCAGCACACAAGGTGACAAGGCTCCATCAAGGGGAGACCAGCCCAGGCCACCAGCACTGTGGTGGGGACACACTGCTCCAGCCAAGGGCTCAGCTCACACTCACACACCCAGCAGTGAGGGAGCAGCTCGGGATCAAGGGGCCTCTGCATCACACCCTACCCTGGGACTGGGCAGGAATGAAACCTGGGCCCTTTCACTGAATGAAACCTTCTCTCTCAGGAAATCTATGGGGGAACTGCAACAGGGTGTCAGAACACCTCAGCACATGGCACAAGAGAGACACAGGGGCAGGACAGGGCACTGCAGGAGCTGATCCCAGCAGAAACATCAGCCCGATCAGGACACACCTACCCTCAACCCTTATCTTTTGATAAGGGAAAGGTCCGCAGGGTGCACTGCTGCCACGCCAAGTAAATCACCTCGTCAAGTTTTAATTGATTTCTGCTTTCACATTAACCTTTGTGACTGGCTGTACAGGGAAAAAGCCACAGCCTTGTTTGCCGGATATGGGAGGACCCAGAGCACCAGTGACACCGCAGCACTGTCCCCTGCCCTGGCCAGTGACCACTGTGAAACCAGACAGGCAAGAGGCAGCTGTGGTGAGGCAACCAGGAGGGAGTGCAGGACCATGGCAACCTACGTGCAGCTAAACACCACTGCCAAGATGCCCCTCGTGGGGCTGGGCACCTGGAAGGTAAGAGCTACAGGTACTGCAGAGCTCCCAGGCACAAAACTGCAGTGCCCCTGCTGCAGCTCAGGAGAGCTGTCCTGGTGCCTGGGGCTCTGCTCTGCCTGGCTGGTGGGCTGAGAGTGAGTTGAAGTGGAGCTATAGATAAATGGCTGGAAGTTGATTTCCAACCCTGGAGTCCATGTTTATCACTGCAAGAAATAGTGTTCTTATAAAGGAAAAAGAACCTACCAACCTGGATTGGGAGGGAATTGCTTTCCCTAACATGGTTTCCCTGGTTTTATTTTGCTAGAATACAGGTCTTTAACAAGTACTGTTTTGAGATTCTTAATATTTATGCATTTTTCCAGTCTCCAGCTGGGCAAGTAAAAGCTGCAGTGATGGCTGCCATCGATGCCGGGTACCGCCACTTCGACTGTGCCTACGCATACCTGAACGAGAGTGAGGTTGGGGAAGGGATCCAGCAGAAAATCAAGGAAGGTGTTGTGAAAAGAGAAGACCTCTTTGTTGTCAGCAAGGTAAGGATCCAATGATCCTGCAGCCCGGAGCACAGCTGAGGGAATGCTTTGTGTGGAGTATTTTCCTAGCAGGAAGGTAAGTAATGGAGACAAACTTTATGCTGTAGGAAAAAGGAAATCAGAACAGCATTCAGGTCACTCCTGACACAAGCTTACAGCTTTACCCATGCTGTAGGGAGAGTTATGAAGGATACACTGTGTCTGTACCCTGCTGTGACCCAGCAGTCCTGGGGGATGGATAGATTGGTGCAAAAGAAGGGAAGCGGGAAAAGACAGAGGGGACCAGGTAGCCCCAAGCAAGGTAGTGATGCAGAGGTCAGAGACCACTCAGTGTCATTAGCAGCTTGCTAATGACACCCTGCTGATGCTACAGCACGGCAGAGCACACAGGCTGTCACTGCCTGATGCTTGTTCCAGCAGCTGGGCTCAGAGCACTGCCAAAGGGGTCTCCCTGCCATTGGAGGTGTCGTTCTGGGCACCCTGGGACAATGTCATCTGCTCAGCACGTGTCCCAGGGAAGGTGGGGTTGGTGGTTTTCTTTCTCATTACAAAAATCAGGCTACTTAGCTGGAATCTGGAGTTACTTTTTACCTAAGATTGGTGGCAACCACTCTTTGTGGCTTGTCTTACACCTTCTTGGCTTTGCCTGCTACATGCAGTGCAGAGTTCTGTGCACGCTCAGGAACAACACTCAGATACACCACTGCCTCTGAAAGCCCCCTGCTGCCAAGGCAGACCCTGGGGAAAAGGAGTGGCACAAATGATGGGTGAACTCATGGAACCAGAGACTGGCACACACTGCCCCCAGAGCCACAGGCCAGGCCCAGCCCAGAGCTTGCCACATCTGAAGAGCACGAGGATGGTCTCATTCCACATCATCTTCCAAAGAACAGGGAGCATTCCTGGGCTGTGCAGGACAGCACCCAAGAGCATTAACCAGGAGATCACAGTCTGCCCTGTTTTTGCCTCCAGCTGTGGTGCACCTTCCATGAGAAGCCTCTGGTGAAGGGAGCCTGCCAGAAGACTCTTGCCAAGCTGAAGTTGGATTACCTGGATCTCTACCTCATCACTGGCCTTTTGGCTACAAGGTACAGCAGCAGCAGGTCTCATTCCTGTGAGAGCTCCTCAGCAGTGCCAGGAGCACTTGCAGCACCTCTGCTGCTGCAGAAAGAGCCCGTGCCTGCTGTGCCAGCACTGCCCCAGTGCTGCCCACCCTGCTCTGCTGTGCCCTGATCTGTGCCCAGAGCGCTGCCTGCACAGCGTCCTCTGCCCTCCTGATAACGGAGAGGCAGCAACAAGGTCAGGCCCCTGGCTGCAAGCAAAAGCTGTGCCTCTTTCCCTTTCCTGTACAAACCCAAGGTGTGCTCTGCTGAAAGAAAAGCCCCTGGGACAGAGGGGTGCAGTTTGCTGCCTGACAGGAATTCTTTCCTCTGCAGGTTGCAGAATCACACGGTGCAAGTAAACACCTCCATTTCCCATTTCTCTCTTTAATCACCAAATCCTTAATACAGTACAGACTGAGCTGGCCTTGCCTGTAGGAGCCTTAGTGTTGTTTCACAGGCTTTGGATTTCAAAAAGATACCTGTCAAAATCTCTGTTCTACCTTATGCTCTTGAGCTCAACTCCATTCCTCCAATATTGTTTTGGTTAGCTTTATGTGGACAAAGTTGTCAAGTGAAACTGCACAATATTGTGGCATTTAGATAATTCCAATAATTCAAAATACTTTGGCCATACTGTTTAGTTACAGGCTAATTTTTCTAATACAGCAATTTCAACAGTGAGCCTCCCCATGGGACATCTGTCAGCAGATGCACTCCAGTATAAATGTCTGGGTTCACAGGGCCAAAGTCAATCCTCCACAGAGCTTTTTAAAAAAACTGTTAATTGAATAATACTTGAAGTGAACTCATGTGAGACTCCAGAATATTGTTCTATAAGTTAACCACTTCCCTTGATGCACTTTGTGGCTCATCACTTCAGAGGGTCCAGTAGAAACATCTGTCTTTACTGGGATAGTAGATGACAAAAATGCATGAACTAAGAAGTGACTGAAGAACTAGTTAAGTTAGGGTGAGAATTACTTGATTTTTTTTTTAATGCAGTATTAGCTTTAGCTCCTTACATCCCTGTTGGGTGACTTTACACAGCTAAATAACTTCTGTGTCTCAGCTGAAGTTATTTCAAGCCTTTTCTCTCTCTCTAACAGGCTGGAGAGGAATTGTTTCCCAAAGATGACAAAGGCATGGCCATACCCAGCAACAGTGATCTCCTACAGACGTGGGAGGTAAGTTCAGCCAGAGCAGAAGAGGAATGTCCTCTGTCCTCATCAGTCTTTGCCATGCTTCCATTACCTTCAGCAGTCACAGAACTGTTGTCTTGTTCACACAAAATTAGCTGGGAGGAACATAAGGCAGTACAAAATAGCTTTTCATCATGAGCATGCTTAATCCTTCCCTGGTTATTCCTGTTCTCTGAATGTCTTACTTGCCTGGAGCTGCACAAGCACTTCCAGTGGAGCTGCACACCAGACTGAAGCTAGACTGTGGAACAATAAGAATTGCACAATTATTATCACCACAGTTCTTGTGCCTTTCTTGAATTGCTCAAACAAATTTCACAGAAATAAAGACATTTTAGGTTGAGATCTGGCCTACAATGTGTGTGACAGCCCTCCAATGCTTGCACAACAGTGGATTACTGAGCATCATCATTCTCCTCATGCAACTCAGTGTGAATTTCTACACACTCAGGGAATGAGAATTTGGGCTTGGGTGAGATGGCATTAATGTGCCAGCACCTGCTTTTCCCTCAGAGAACTTTGCAACTTTAAACAGTTCTTTTGTGCTGCTTGTGGTGGGAAACAAGTCACATTAGGAAGAACATTATCATGAGCTGCCTTGCACACTGGATGATGATTTTGCTATTTTAGGCCATGGAGGAGCTGGTGGACTGTGGACTGGTAAAAGCCATTGGATTCTCCAACTTCAACCATGAGCAGATTGAAAGGATCCTGAACAAGCCAGGACTGAAGCACAAGCCTGTAAATGTCCAGGTGAGCTGCAAAGTGACTGCAGGTGACTGCATTTGTGGGATTATAAATTCCATTTACATTCCATTTACAGTGGAATGAGGAGATGGGAAAAGGGTGAACAGAGAAGACACAGCATGTACTTTAAATCCCTCTCTATGGATATTTCAGAGTACAGCACTTGGATACTCCATTTTTTTAATTTTTATTTTATCACCTTGCTTAACCACTGTTTAAAGATGTTGGAGAACTTCCCTGAAAACAGCCTTTCTGGAATAATAAAGAAGGCAGAGATGAGCTTTGTGAAATGTCCCCCAGCAAAAACTGTATAAGCACTTTGTATCAAATAGCTGATTTAATATAATAAGGATGGGTATTGTCATGCAAGCCACTGTCAAATTAGGGAAAAAAGCAGCCTCTAATTGAACTAGGAGATAACTTATGGAGCACAACAATATTGCAGCAGTTCTGCCACTGTCAGGCTCTTTGTTTTTGTGTTGGCAGATTGAATCTCATCCATACCTCACCCAGGAGAAGCTGATCAAGTACTGCCAGTCCAAAGGGCTGGCTGTGACTGCATATTGTCCCCTTGGCTCTCCTGACAGACCATGGTAAATTTGCTCTGCAATCTGCCAGGGAGTTGGTGAGGGCACTGAGACTACACATACACCACTCATTTCTTATTTAAACACCTATCTCTGTTGCTGTGCTGAATCTTTCTGTGGAGGTTTCTTGCCACTGATTTGTTCTCTCTGTGTAGGGCTAAGCCCGGGGATCCTTCCCTTCTGGATGACCCCAAGATCAAGGAGATTGCAGCCAAGCACAACAAAACCCCAGCACAGGTGGGTACTCCTTCCCAATGAATTGGAAACTCTTTCCCTTCCCCATGAATTGTGCCACTCCTCTGATTTTTCCCTAACAATGCAGATTTTTTTTATGATATTCCCTCCAGGACACACTATTAACTCTTAGGCCATCAAAAAGATTCTCGAGCACCTTCAGATGTCACGTCCCCTCTCAAGTCCTCTTGCAGAGAATGTCAACCTTGCACAGACTGCTAAAATCCTAGGTGCAAACAATAGGAGTGGTCTGGCCCAAACCTGGATGGGAAGGGAGGTTTCCTGTGAGGCTCCACCACTTCCCTCTCTGCTCTCCAGGCAGTGCAGCCTGGACTGCAGGGACAGGGATGGTTTGAAATGCAGCTCTGCAGAAATGGGTACAGCTCAGGGAAAAAGCTGTTGGAAAAGGAGGAGGGATTGAGTTGTCTCTTTTTGCAGGTTCTCCTTCGCTTCCAGATCCAGAGAAATGTGATTGCGATTCCCAAATCCGTCACCCCACAGCGCATTGTGGAGAACTTCCAGGTGAGGGATCAGGAGTGAGCAGGGGCTGCCCCTCAGGGATGGCTGGGCAGTGATCCTTTATCACCCTTGCCATGGCCTCCTGCAGCAGGAGGGCTGGGCTCTTCCTTCTTCCTGCTTAATTTACATTTTACCTGCATAACTACACTTCACTGAGTGTTAACCCAGGCCTAATTCTTGAGAGTTTAATCAGAAATCCTTACATGATATCATTCCCTGTTCCATGGATGGATGAGCAGGCACAGCTTGCTTGGAATCCCCACTCAGCAACATGCCAGAAACATCTCACCTAGAATCAGCAATGTTCATAAAATAATCCCTCGTGTCCATAAAACAAGTTGTTCTTCATAATTCAGTGGTCCATGTGTGAAAGTGCATTCTCCAGTGTGGAGCTATTTCTCTTAGGTTTGTTCAAAGAAGTGATTTCCACTTTTATCTCTAATTAGGTGTTTGACTTTGAACTGACTAAAGAGGAGATGGCAACTATTCTGACCTTCAACAGAAACTGGAGGATCTGTGAAATGAACGTGTAAGTGATGCCCCTTGTTTTCTTCTAAATCTTAAATCCTGAATATTCTTTACAAGGAATTTTGTGTCACAGCTTCTAGGTAACACGGAATTCAATTTTTTTAAAAATTACACCAACTCAAACTCCAAGTGGTTTGTACCAAAAAAATAACATTTTCAGGACAGGGCTTAATGTTTTCACTTTAAAAACAAAACAAAAAAAATTAAAGCAAACTACATTCTAATTTTTAATTCTGAGTTTTCAGGAAACTCTCTTGAATTACAAAAAAATGGGACGTTCAACTCATCTCTCTGTATATGAGAGAAAGGAGAACATGTATCTCTACCTATTCTTGCTGTAACTCTGTGATGCAGATCTCTTGGTGGCTCTTCCATGCACACAATATATCTCTAAATCACATTTAAATCATGGGTGAAAATAACACTCCCACTTTCATTTCTTTCAGGTCCAAAAATCTCAAGGAATACCCTTTCCATGCAGAATACTGAAGGTGCTTTTAACATGGCCTTCATTAGACCTCTGGTGTCATCTCCCCTGGTGCTGCCAGTGAAGACATGGCATGTTTATCCCACAACATTTGGGGTTTTTGGAAGAAAGAAATAATGTTTTCTACAGCACCACTATTCACTGGTTGCCTTCAGTCTTGCATCAGCAGAAACCAGATGTTGACAAACACACCCCACAGATCCACAATTTGATCAGTGGTGTCACACATTTTAAATAAAATGAACTTTAAAATGCAAAAAACCTAATTGGTGGAAAGTTTTCTGTCTACTGTAGGAAAAACACAAAACCCTCCCACCCAGAGATGCACTGAGGGGTGGGTTGCAGTCACCTGCACTGTGGGGACACAGATCCTGCCTGGGACACTCAGCATTTTCCCCTGCCATCCTTCAGCACCCCTCTTGTCCCCCCCTCACCAGCCACAGCCCTGTTTTTCATAGACAAATACAAGAATTATCACAGATCTTCAGGAAAAAAAATAATGAGAAGACACAGAGAGATTGGTGGGACCTCAGAGGATGCCCCTGGCTTGATCTGAACTCACTGCAAGAAAGAGGCCAATGTCTTAAAATCAGATTAAATCTCTACCCCCATTTTATTCCTGCCTTAACAAGCATCTGAAAGCTGAACCAATGCACACCATTCAGCAATGTAAACTTTCTGTTCCAACATACACTCTTTTCTCGAAGGCCCTGCCATCATCTGACAAGCCCAGCCACACCTTCAGGACAGAAATTGTCACCTCACAGGAACTGGCACGGTCTGGGCAAGGCAGACAAAGCAAAACACAAAACCTTCTGCCCAAAATCCTCTCCTAAAACACCAAGGTGACTCTCAGAGCATGCCTTGGGAAAAACAAGCACCAGCCTTCACAGGAGAACATCAGCTCACAGAAGAAAGTAGAGAAAGAACAAATTGCATTTCTCAGCCCTGCTCTCCTGTGTGGTGAAACTGCAACACCACATCCTGCAGAGGACAGCTGACAGCACTGCCAGAAACCTGGGGCAAGATTAGGGAAAACTGTATCTTGTCTTCTTTCAGTTAAATCAAGCAGGGAAATCACACCATTGCATATATTTCAGATTTATGTTCGTACCTGAAGGAATTCTCCGAGCACAAGCAAACAGCGAAGCCTCCCAAGCAGCCCTGACAGGCTGTTATGGAGCACTTGGAGGATCCTGTTGATAAATTCATTTCTTTTTCACTGCGCTTTTAACACGTCATCCACACAGCGTTATTTTGCCTCTCCGAAATTGCAAAGTCAGTTTCTAAAGTGAAATTAAAAGGCCGCCTGCTGTTTATTTGTACACTTTTGTGTTTCCTTCTGAAGTACGGTCTGCGCCTCCCTGAGGGCAGAGGGACGAGGCGATCATTGTGACATTCGCTGTAAACTCAGCGTCATTCAGTAGCTCGGAAAACACACTAAAAGACGCTTTCCCTCAGCATTTAAAAGGAAGCGATTTGTACTGATCATTTCCGAAATCACTCGCAAACTCACCCCAAAGTGAAACTGTTTGTCCCATGTTGGTGTCACTCTGAGGGAACCGAGCGGGCGCCACAACACCGGGGACATGGCACAAGGAGGACGGACACCCCGTGGCACAGGGACGCTGATCCCCGCAGGATCCGGGCCGGCACGCCCCTGCACTCAGCCTTTATCTTTCCGTAAGGTATTTCGCCCTTCTCCAGGGGGAACGCCCGGAGCGCGCCCGGGCTCCCTCCCACACGGGCTGCCCCTCACTGCATCTCCCATGGCCGCCCGGCGGGCCCCATTGGCTGCCGGCTCCGCTGCTGATTGGCTATCGCGGCGGGCTGGCGCGGAGCCGGGGGCGCTGATTGGTTGGCGCGGCGGGCTCGCGCGGGGCGGCGGCGCTGATTGGCCGCGGGCGCGAGGGGAACCATGGCGGGCATGGTGGGGTACGTGCGGCTCGGGGCCGCCAGCGCGCCGCTCATGGGGCTGGGCACATGGAAGGTGAGGCCGGCGCCGCGCTGCGGGACGGGGAAGCAGCTGAGAATCCTTCACCGAGACCTCTCCTGCCCTTTTTCCCTTTAGTCCCCCCCAGGGAAGGTGACAGCTGCGGTGACGGCTGCCATCGATGCCGGGTACCGCCACTTCGACTGTGCCTATGTGTACCAGAATGAGAACGAAGTTGGGGAAGGGATCCAGCAGAAAATCAAGGAAGGCGTTGTGAAGCGAGAGGATCTCTTTGTCGTCAGTAAGGTATGGCTCAGATGGTCATGGATTATGGACGCGCTGGTTTTACCTGTGCGAGGAACATCTAACATTTAACGTGGTTAAACGCCGTAGCACTGGAGAAGTTTGTAATGCCAATGAGTTAATTCCTGCTGCCGTTCTCTTGTTTCCTGCGCTGCCACACAGCCCACACCTCGCTGCAGGTGAAGAGCACAGAGCAGGCCTGATTCCACACCCCATTCCAAAGAACAGGGAGCATTCCTGGGCTGTGCAGGAGAGCATTAACCAGGAGGTCACAGTCTGTTTTTGTCTCCAGCTGTGGTGCACCTTCCACGAGAAGCCTCTGGTGAAGGGAGCCTGCCAGAAGACTCTTGCAGACCTGAAGCTGGGTTACCTGGATCTCTACCTTGTCCACTGGCCTTTTGGCTTCAAGGTACAGGAGCAGCAACGCCCTTAACTTTGTTTCTTGTGGCTGGCTTAACAGCCCAACAATTGTTCTGGCTGACAAAGACAATGACATGCCTGTTATCTGTGCCAGCACTGCTCTGGTGCTCAGCTTCGTTCTGTGTGACTCAGGCTCTTGGTCTCTGCTCCAGAGGCAGTTGTTTTCCTACCCCTTTGATCCTGGGAATGATGGCAATCTGACTCAAATCTAGAGAAACTAGAGGCAGCTCTCCCAACTCCAAGCATAAAACATTTCTCTTTCCTTTTCTCTTGTGAATCCAGTGTGTGTTAATCTCAAAATCACCCCTTGTGGGAAGGAGGGTTGCTTTTTGCTGCTTCTCTGCAGTTTTCCTTTGTGTGCTGCAGAATCAGAGAGCAAAAGAAAGCATTTCTGTTTTCCATTTCTCTCTTTAATCACCAAGTCCTTCATGCAGTACAGATTGAGCTGGCCTTGCTTGTAGAAGCCTTAAGTGTTGTTCCACTGAGACAGGAATTTAAAAGGTGAAGTGTCTGTGAGAGTGTTTAGGCCCCCCAAAATCAGAGAAGGAGTTGATGTCTGAGTTTGAATATTTCTAGTCACAGCCTTTCTATCCTCTCTCAGTCTGATCCCTCCCCATTCTACCTGTTGCCTTTGAGATGCTCATCTTTTTTGCATGCTTTATTTTAACTTTATGTGAACAGGGCCATGAAAATGAAGCTGTCTCATGGTGACAGCAGCAAACAGCTGCTAAACACAGTTCAGTCCTGGCATCTTTTCATAACTTGTAACAGAGGCTCTTCCAACTTTCCCAGTGCTGGTGTCTTTGCACTGAGCATTGTCATGGAAGAACTGTCAGTGCACACCAGAGCTCTTTTCGAAAGGTAGATCTGGTGTTGTGTAGACCAAAGTGTTGATGCCGCCCTGGAAAAAGAACAAAACAGTTCTTGCTAAGTGGGAACTAAAGAACAGCCCCTGAAGGGAGCACTGTGAGACTGGAGGCTGCAGCTTGGACTGGTTTGCTTCCCTGTGGGTGTTTGGGTGAGCCATCACTTCCAGGGTCCAGCAGAAAAACCTGTTCTACGGGGAATGGTCACTGGCAAAAATGCCTTAAATTCCTTCCACTTCTCAGGAAGGAATGACTGAGTGTAGACAAGAATCAGCATTCTTGCTCTAGAAGTTTAAGATACTGTAGTTGAGAGCACTCAAGTGGACTTGTCAAGAGATTTTCAAGCACTTTCTCTCTCACTGACAGGCAGGAGAGGAGCTGTTCCCTGTAGATGACAAAGGCATGGCTATCCCCAGCAACACAGATATCCTGCAGACATGGGAGGTGAGTTCATCCCAAGTGGAAGAGTCACTCATCTTCCTCAGCAGTGGTGTTGGCTTCAGCAGCTGCAGGATGTTCAGCCATGGATGCAAAATTAGTTGGAAAGAACTCACGGAAGCACACAGTTTTAAAAATGTGCTTTTAAAGATGTGCTTCCCATGAAGACAAACAGAGCATGTCAGGAAAAAATGTGTTCAGTCATGTCTTGTACACTGCCTGCTGACTGTGCTCCCCCTTCTGCCAGGCCATGGAGGAGCTGGTGGATGCTGGCCTGGTAAAAGCCATTGGAATCTCCAACTTCAACCGTGAGCAGATTGAAAGAATCTTGAACAAGCCAGGACTGAAGCACAAACCTGTAAATAATCAGGTGAGCTGCAAAGTGACTGCAGGGGAATACTTCTCAGGGATTATAAAGTTCTGATTACAGTTGAATGAGGAGGTGGAAAAAGGAAGAACAAAGTAGACAAAACATGTACTTTAAATCCCTCTCTCTGGACATTTCTTCATACAGACAGAACCAGAATATTTCCTTTTTGTCTCATCTTGTTGAAACTTTGGAGTGTTTTCCTAGGAACCATTCTCTCTGGAGGCATGAAGAATCCACATATGAGGGATCATTCTGACATAATGACTGACTCTTACAAAGCCTCTCAGAAAAAAATCCAAAAAGCACATAAAAAGTCAGTCTAAAAGTTGGTGCCCTATAGAATTACAGTCTTGTATTGTCACACAGGCCACCTGCAGGGTGGGGTGAAGTCAACCTATAATTAGGAAAGTAGGATTCAGAAAAACCTCTGGAGCAAGGGAAGACTACAGTAGTTTTACAGCCCTCAGTCTATGCTTCTGTGTTGGCAGATTGAGTGTCACCCATACCTTTCCCAGGAGAAGCTGATTGACTACTGCCACTCCAAAGGGATCACTGTGACAGCATACTGTCCCCTCGGACGTCCTGACGGGTAATTTCCAAGTGGGTTCATGTGATTTATGGCTAACTGAGTAATGGGGCAGGTGTATATATATATATTTTTTTTATTTTATTTTATTAATGGGGCTAGATAGAATCTTTCTTAAGTGATTCTGTGTTGTTTCATCCTTTTCTCCCCCACTTTGTCTAGTTCTAAGCCAGAGGCACCTTCCCTTCTGGATGACCCCAAGATCAAGGAGATTGCAGCCAAGCACAACAAAACCCCAGCACAGGTGGGTAGGTGCCAGACAGTGGATACCCCTTCCTGTAACACAGCAATTTAGGAAACTATGTCTGAAGAGAGGGAACAGCCTCTGTGGTGTTACCTGTGAACAGTGCTGCCTTTTTGTCTTGTTAAAAAGCAGTGCAGGCTGTCCGTTCTGTGGCCTGCTACTAACTCTGGCCATCAATCAAGAACATTTTCTTGACTCATCTTCAGTTGTCACATCTCAAGTCCTTTTGAAGAAATGAAAGCCTTGTATATAGTGCAAAACTTCTGGATGCTAAGAAAAGGAATTGACAAAACCAGAATGGAAAGAAGACCTTCCATGGGGGCTTCCAGCACTTCCCTCTCTGCTCTCCAGGCAGTGCAGCCTGGACTGCAGGGACAGGGATGGTTTGAAATGCAGCTCTGCAGAAATGGGTACAGCTCAGGGAAAAAGCTGTTGGAAAAGGAGGAGGGATTGAGTTGTCTCTTTTTGCAGGTTCTCCTTCGCTTCCAGATCCAGAGAAATGTGATTGCGATTCCCAAATCCGTCACCCCACAGCGCATTGTGGAGAACTTCCAGGTGAGGGATCAGGAGTGAGCAGGGGCTGCCCCTCAGGGATGGCTGGGCAGTGATCCTTTATCACCCTTGCCATGGCCTCCTGCAGCAGGAGGGCTGGGCTCTTTTTGTCTGCCTGGAAGTCAGGGCTACAGTGAAAACTACAGTGAAGAATAGACAGAGCTGTTGGAAACAGTGTGCTGATAAAACTATCAGGCACTTTACACTTTACATCCTGTTCTTCTGTTTCTTCCCTCTGCCTGGGAAGTAGAGTCTGGAAAATCCAAAGATACTTCTTTTCATTTCTGTGTTTCATGAATCCATCACTTGTACCCAGCATCCTTTCTGATATGAACTTGTTCTTTAATCTCGTGAATCTTGCTTCGTTTTGATTTGATTTGTTCAAAGAAGTTAAATCCAGCTGGTTTTCTCTTTTTAGGTGTTTGACTTTGAACTGACTAAAGAGGAGATGGCCACCCTTCTTAGCTTAAACAGAAACTGGAGGATCTGTCCAATGGTCACGTAAGTGACAGTTTGTGTCCTTCAAACTCTTACATTTTCAATGACCTTTATCCTGATCTCACGGGAACTGGTATAGCTGTTCAAACTGGGTATATTTTGAATTCTGAAATAATTTTGGGGATGAAGCATCTGTTGTTCTACTTCCACTTTATTGACTGAAAGGCGAGGATAAGTCATGCTGTGTATTCATTGTGAATCCATTCTCCAGGAAATTTTGTATGTCTGGAATTCCAAAATGAGAGTTCTAGTTGATAATTTTGGCTGTGTCCATATGGGAGAAACGAGCACTAGGCAGTTTTAAACTAATTTCATAATTTTTTTCTGTGGGGTATTATAAATTGATGTCAGCTCTTACACAGGTGGTTGTGGTGGGGAATGACCATCTCTTGTGCAGTACAAAGCACAGCTGCTTGCAGGTGTGCACCAAGACAGGAACTCTTGGCTGCAAGGCCACAGAAACTGCTGCTGTCTCTGTAAGCAATGTGAATTTTAACTCTGTATCTAGAAAATAACATGGTCCCACCACTGTTCAGAGCCTGAATTACAGAAAAAGGCTGGAAC